AATTTTTTTGATATCTTTGGTGGGTTTAAAATCGCGCTAGAAAGGATATATCAATTTGGTTGATTTTAGCTTCTGAAGCTCAAATTTTATAGCAAGAAGATTGATAACGAAATTGAGCGCCATTGCAAATTTTAGACCTGAATTCTATATTATAGATTCTTATAGCTAGAAGGGCTTCTGGCCTATGCTTGAGATCTTTCTGGATATCTTTTTTTGATTTTGACTCCAAGACTCCCAAATTTGTCCTACTGTATGATTTTTTTATACATATATAGTTGTGATCATAAAAACTATACATATTAGTATAGAAAATTCAATTTATAAATTTATACTGGTATAAAATTTTTATAAATTAATTTAATTAATTATATTGATTATTTATTGAAATCGAGACTTGTAAATCTTGTGATATATAAATATAAGAATTTTATAAAATTAAAAAAAAATAAATTCTATAATTATTAATGATTAGTTTATTTTAATTTTATTTCAATAATTTCATTTTGATACATTATAAAAAATTATTACAACTAAAAGTTTAATTATTTATTTCTTTACACAGCCTAAGATTTTTTAATTCCAATTTTTCAATTTTTACTAAAGCTTTACGATTTGCTGTTTGTCTTTCAGTTAATTGCATTTTATATTCCTCAATTTCTAATTGTAAAATAATGTGATTGCTTTCTTCAAATAAATTATTTTCTTTTACATTAATTTTATTTCTTTTGACTTTTAAAATATTATTAGTAGATGCTTTTCATTTTATTCCTTTTTTTCTGAATTTTCTTGATCGTTAATATTACTATTTAATGCATCTTTTAATAATAAAATATAAATAATTAATTATAATGTAATAAATAACAATTAAATAAATAAATTTACCAATTGTTTCTTTATTAAGTGATTCTTTTTTATTTTTTTCAGATACTTATTAAAAGAATTAATTTAAAAATTTATATAATTAAACAAAATTTTCAGTTATAATTTATTATTTTACCTTTTCGTATTATAGCTATTGCTTTTCTTTAATTTCACTTTTATCTTTTCTAGTATAAGGAATTCCAAATTTATCATGAGTTTCTGCAATTTTAAAAAGCCTTTCATCTAATCGTCTACTTCTAAAAAAAATATTTAAAAACTAATCTCAAAAAAATTAAAAAATTAAAATCAATTAAAAAATATAAAATCTAACTGCATAATTGCAGTAATAGGTTTTAACTGCTTTCCTTCTCAGTTAGCTTATACATGTACAGCTTTAGCTATATTTATATTATTTTTATAATTTTCTCATATTTCATTTTCTATATTTAAAATATATTTGTTTAAAGATGTTAAAACATAAGGTTAGTGATAGTATTAAATCCAATCTATTAATAAATATATAATATTAATTATAAAATTATTTATAAAATTAAAAATAACATTAATGATGATATAATAAAAAATATCTTCAATATGTTGATTATCATAAGTTTCTAATAGTTAAGACTTTCATAAACCTCTTCAGTACTAGATTTAAATGGAATTGATAATGCTACAAAAAAACTTCATTATTAAATTTTTTAGCCATTAGATTACTAAAAAATAAAATTTATATTTAATTATTAAAAAATCTTTATTAATATTAAATTTAATAATATAAAATATCTTACTATTTAAAATGAACTAGGTATGATTTAAAAATATATGTCAAATTCATTTCTCAATCTTTACTATAATCTCTTTTTGCTAAAGCTAAACCTAATTCTTTTGCTTGTCCAGCATCAAGATCTCTAAGAATACATTCACAACTAGTATTATTAATATGATAAAATTTTACAGGTTGTTTACTTAAATTTTCTATTACTTCAAAAAGCTGAGTAAATAGGCGTTGATATGCATCAGCTGTAAAAATATTGGTATATATATAATAATAAGAAAGAACTAAAAAATGTTAAAAAAATAAATTATATTAAAAATAATAATAAATTAATTAACATATTTACTTAATTTATGAATATTATCATAGGAATTAATTTCAAATTCATTAATATCTCTATGTACTCTTTTAAAAGTTAAATCAATTTGAAAATACTTTAATTCTTGTAATACTTTAGTTTGAAAATTAAGCATTGTCACCGGGTTCATTTTCGTTTATCTTAATATCTAAGTTAAAAGGCTGCGACAGCTGATTCTACACGTTGGAATTTCTGACCTTAGGATTTTCTCTAAGTCCTACAGGTATCTGTTATACTTGAATCAACTCGGCAATTTATCACATCTTAGAACTTAAGATATGTTAGTCGAACTCATAATGACGAACTCAATAGCAAGTTAGTGTAGTATATCACAACAATCCTAGATGAAGAACAACGTTGAAGGGAAAGTAGTTTGTGTAGATTTAAATTGATTCCTTTATTTATAACTTGAAACTCGTATGAAACTTACAAATGAGTTTAT